CAGCAACAGTGATGCCTCCCCACACTATAACAGAACCACCCCCAAATCGATCATGTCTGATGACGTTAACGTCTTGGAAGCGCTCGTTTCGACGACGCCACACCCTCCTACGTCTGTCCAAAAAATCAACAGTGAACCTTGACTCATCTGAAAACATCACATTGCTCCAGCGTCGATTATCCCAGTGTTGACGATCCCTACACCAACGACGTCTTGCCTGAATGTGATGATCTCTCAAACAAGGGATCACGCGAGGACGTCGGGCGCGAAGGCGACCCCTATGCAGTCGATTCCGAATCGTCTGGCCACTCACTCTCACACCAGTGTCTGTTTGAAGACGAGCGCTGATCTGATTTGCTGTGATGACACGATTTCTCAAGGCCAAGGTACGGATAAATCGATCATGGGCTTGAGTTGTCGCCCTTGGTCGACCTGAGCGTGGTCTGTCCTGTACAGATTGTGTATCACGGTATCTGGACCATAGCCTGCTTATGACAGACTGAGAAACATTCATCGTCCGCGCCACAACCGCCTGTGTTGTGCCGATCTGTAGCATGCCAAGGGCACGTAACCTTTCATTTTGGGTAAGCCGACACATATCAAAATTTGTTTTCTGGTCACTAAAACAATTAATCTGATGTTTCCACCCTGGAATTCAATGCCACAATGGCTGTAACATTCAAAATCAGAGTCGTGCAAATCTTGGGTTGGACCCCCATGATGATCCCAAGCATCACCTGCATTCCATGCGGTAGCTATTGGTGCGTTTGGGCGTCACATGTAACTGGAAATGTTTCTTCTGTTAGGTTCTATAGTGACTTTTTTCGTAGTCATTTGCATATTTTAGTATTATGCCCCCAAAATCAAATATCCCCTACTTTTTTTGAATAGTATATAATATTGAATTTGCAAAGATACTTTATGAAATCTGGATATATTAGCTTACTTTTCAAGCCGTTAACGTTCCAAGTAACAAAATTGATACTTTTTGAGTTGTTGGTTTTATCCGTCCGCCATGTTGGCTGCTAATCTCGGGATCCAACTTTTGATAATTCTTGCGTGTCCATATTAATTGAAAATACATCATTGTTAATAACAAGTTTGTCGTTCCTAAGAAATGCCCGCTTATTGGCTTACTTTGCTTCTATTAAATGGGGTATTAAAGCTTTTTTTTATTTCACGAACACGTTTTGAGAAGTCTTCAGAAACTTTGATATGTGAATCTTTAAATTGTTTTCTAGCTGACTGTAGGATTAAATCTCTGTCTCTCAGCTTGTTAAACACAACTAGTATCGGTCGTAGTCTTTCTTTGTTTCGTTTGCCAAGTCTGAATATACGCTCAATATTAATCTCTGAATCAGTGCTCACACCTGGTAGATCGGACAAAACAACATCTTTGATTAACTGCTCACATTCACCTGGAGTTTCAATCTCACGTTCTTTCTCTTTTATTCCATAAAAAATCAAATTATGCTCCTTTCTTCTGTTTTCACTTTCATCAAGTCTTTGCTTAATTCTTTCATTCTCTGTTTTCAGTTGTTCAATATCTTGTTTAATATTTGTCACCTTCTCTTTAATATTCATTTCACGAACTTCTGACCTCAATTGTGTAATTTCATCTCTGATGCCATGCAAGAGAGTTGTCAATTCATTGGTATGGGGTTGGTTCTGGTCTCCGGTAGGGTATATCACATCCCCAGTTCTGGAAATAGTGCCTTGTCTAGTGCTGGGACCAGGGTTTGATTCGATATCTCCACATAACACTAATAACATTGAAAATATCACAAAAACCGACAGAGTCAAGTTTGAAGTTTTAATTATTGGCGACTTACATTTTACAGCGGCAGTTTTGTGATGATAGGATCCTATAATAATTCTCCATGCTGCTAGATCGATAAACATGATTAAAGAGATTGTTGAATATTCCGGTAGATATGTTAGGAAGTCCTTTAAATAAATAGTGTTCGGTCAAGCGAGGAGAGGTCCACACACACACGTCTTATCTCTACGAAGACTAATTACTAATATTGCCTTTTAAGTATTTATCAATTACATTTTAACTATTTATCAATTACATTTTAACTATTTATCAATTACATTTTGATTACATTACATTTTTATTACTTAATTACATTTTAATATTACTGCTCAATAACGTTGTATATGCGTTTCAACTTTGACAAGCCTCACAATTTAGCACCAAAGAAGTACACCGACAGAAATCTAATACATTGGAATGAAATATAAGTCAATTAGATAGTCCTAAACTCAATATCCACGTAATATGGTTACATAAACACACATTATACAAGAGCTAAATCTGCCTCATGCAGGTCTTTCTTTAGGTCTAAAATGTTATATAAATTATTAATTAGACATTAATTAACTTATCCAGACCATAATCAACTCTAGATGACATCCCCATCCTGCGATATTTACTGGATTTAAATAAATTTTGAGATAGATGATTTAACGTCACAATGGATAATCGAGACTTTTTTTTTTATCGTACCTAGACCTAAAATTCAATCTCTAATATCTGGGTTCAGAGTGGAGCCATTTGACCGAAATTTTCAGCATATTCTATTTGCATTAACTATTTTTAAATATTATAGCGAGAACTGCAAAATAATAAATATGATGGGCTTTATTTTTGTTTATTACATTGACGGTCCGAGCGACTAGACGATTTTCTTTGTCACCACTGACGACAACCTGACAAGGGCAACTAGGGCTGGAAATGAAATGAAATGAAATGAAATGGAGTTTAACGTCCTACTGTTCTGCTCCTAACCTGGGCTAATGAAGACGGGCATACGCCATACAGTGTGCTATGAGGGAAATTTTGCCCGGGCAGCGGCACTATCGCCTACTCTTATATCGAATTTCAACTGCCAAGGGATGTTTTACGTGCACGCCAATGTGTACACGGGGCCTCGGTTTTTCGTCTCATCCGAATATGAACGACTAGACAGCTGTCCTTGTCAGGCCCTCCATCCTGCATCACTGACAAGGGGAAACCACGCTGGAAAATCTGGATGAACTTTCGCGGCCAATGCAGGGATCGAACACCCGACCTCCAGGCTAGCGAAATGAAATGAAATGTTATTTAACGTCCTACTGTTCTGCTCCTAACATGGGCTAATCCAGGCTAGCGAGCCAGCGTCTTACCCACTTAGCCACGTGATCCCCCAGGACAACTAGGGCTGGGACTCGTGATTTCGGTTTATATACTGCTGTAGAGTATGTTTATTGCTTGCTGCAAAATGTAAATTATTTTCTGGCCCATTGATATTTACATAACTTGCCAAAAGTACACATTTGAATGGAACTAACCTGTATTAAATGACGGTGGGGGAGGAGGGGGGAGATTTAACGTCATCGTACGGGCCATAACAAAAAATACAATATATCGGGATTCATACAATAAAAAGGTCCAAATACCTGCTTCAATTTTATTTCAATAATTCGCTTGCGCGTAGGGGTCTTTAGCAGTGGGAGGAAACCGGAAGACCAGGAGTAAACCCACGAGGTTGGACAGGCGACCCTACTCCTTGTCACGTACAACCGGGGATTCGAAGACTCAATGACAGACTTTATGATACAGCGCGCGCACGCTAACCATTCAGCCATCCAACCCCCCTTTTCAAAATTAAAAAATATTTTCTGATATATTCATATTTAAGTTTTAAAGCAGGTTACATTTCGATCGTCTAACGTCTATTTAGTGAGGGTTGTGTATTTAAAAGTCAAAATACAGGTCTTAATACGAAATTCCTGTTATCGTGTCTGAATGTACGAGTATTAATTATTTACTGACATATGCGTGATTATTATGACTTAGAAGAGATAAAATCCTCTTTGTCCAAAGAAAATTGTGGCTATCAAAAAATAACCAAATTACAAAGATAGGTTATTTTTAATTTATTTTATTTATTTTTATCGGCTTAACCAACGTCGGTGGGGAGTCAAAAGGTCGTATCTGCAATATTTTGCGAAATTCACTTTTTTGCTTCTTCAGAATGGGGATTTTCTTGCGCATCTTTTCATCTAGTTGTCGTATTTCTAAGCCAATAAAAAGAGGTTTTATAGATATATTTCAAAATGTCGTATATGGGGTGTTCCAAAAAAAAAAAAAAAAAAAATATTAAGAGTGAAAATGTATTTTTTTTTTTTTAAAAAAAATCAACTTTGTGTCTAACCAAAGTATTACAATCAAACGAAATGTAGCCAGTATTGTTTTATAGTTAAATATGTATTAAAGAAATTATTGTTGAGCGTCTTCTGTGTGAATTCTATTAAATTGAAGAAGGTAAAGGTGAATATTTTCCTGAGATAGGTCTTTGCTGTATAAATTGCAAATAACTAGCTTTCACTCTTTATTTCTGCACTAAATGTTGAGCTTGATACGTGCGGATAGTTACATATTGTTTTAATGGCTACACATACACTTTGTACAGAAATATTTAAGAAAAGCTTCAAAAATACATTTTGACGTGACGGTTTTATTAGACATTTTGATTCTTAACCTCTGTGTGTTTTTTTTGCTCTCCTGGACAATTTCGCAAAATCCAGATACGACCTTTTGACTCCCCTCCGACGTTATGTAGAAACATAACTCTATGGATTAGCCATAACACGCACGTGGTTTCAATTAATCAAGTCATCGAGCGATTGTTCTTATTGTATGCACGCTCGATTCCACCACTCGGCAAACCTCAGCAGATTCCAGTAGCCTACATCTCACTACCATTGTAATTACTGGATCCATTGTGTAGAAGATCACTCGAGCGGAACGGTAGTTATAATGGCTATATTGTTACACGTATCATTTTCGGGTAAAAATGTACAATATTTATATACGGTATCACTGGTGAATCGACATTAACAATATTATAGATTAAATAAATGTCATGCAAAACAGGAAAATGTTAAGAGAAGTAGAGAGTTCACGGTTGGATTACATCACACATATGAGCAAGTAAAAAGACTAAATTCACCTGATAAAAGATTCACCATACATATTCATTCACACAGAATATATATTGAGTTCATAATTCACCATAATAATAATAAAGGAAAGTTGGATGTTGTAAACATCAAATCGTCGCAAAAAACGATAACAACAACATAACAACAACACACGATCGATTGAGTCGCCATTCACATCCTATAATACTATGCAATTACCTAGCAACATAGCAACACGCGCTTTCATTCTCTTTTATCCAGACTCACTCGTATATTCAATTTCTTGTTCATCGATTTTGAACATAACAATTTAATATCGTTTATAAAAAAACGAAGAATAATAATTGTTCAAGATCAAAATCTTGTAATACTCTGGTCAGTAAAAATAAGACGAAATCGCACCGACTAGGCTAACGAAGACGGGCATAAGCCACCATAGGCGTACGGACTCGATGACTGTTAGTCGGATGGAGGGGGTGGGCAGAACTCGAAATGCCCGAAAAAATTCGGATCAGACCCCCCACCCCCGAAAAAAAAATATAAAACAAAATTTAAAAATTTAACGACCGCAAACGCGTTTTAATACTACTCCAGCCCGCGAATACAGCAACTTCAAAGTGGTCTAACAAGCCCAGCTGGCTGACCCAAATTCCAAACAATCAATCAATCGTTCACAGTTCACGGAGGCCGGGGACCGTCGGGAGAAAATCTTGAAAATTTCATTGTCGCAAACGCGTTTCCTGTTATTTTAGCCCTTGAATACAGCAAATGTGGTCCTATATAGCCTACCTGAGGTGGCTGACCCGAATCACAAACAAACAATCAATCGTAGCGGGGTATGGGGGCCTCGTCCTCCTGGGGAAAGTTTAATAAAGAGTTGCACATTCTTGGTATAATAATTCAAAAATAGATGATAAAAAAAAAATGTTGAAAATTTCAGTCAAATTTGTCGCTGTTGGAAGTTTGGACTAGAAATAGGCATCTAAGAGAATACAGCAAATGTGGTCCTATATATAGCCTACCTGAGGTGGCTGACCCGAATCACAAACAAACAATCAATCGTAGCGGGGTATGGGGGCCTCGTCCTCCTGGGGAAAGTTTAATAAAGAGTTGCACATTCTTGGTATAATAATTCAAAAATAGATGATAAAAAAAACATGTTGAAAATTTCAGTCAAATTTGTCGCTGTTGGAAGTTTGGACTAGAAATAGGCATCAATTGTGTCTGAACCGTCTAAGAGAATTGGCGATCGTTTGATTGACAGACGATAACTCCACCCACATGTTCTCAATTATCAAGTAACATGCTCTATTGCTATGGTAGACTCGCCTGGCAGGCCTTTCATCACCAGTTTCCGGTAGTGACACCAGCGAATAACGATAAACGTTAGCTTGGTCCGCCATTTATTGATTTAATTTTAAATGGACGACTGTTTAAATCCAAACTGTATCCTATCCATCCATGGGTCTACAGGGTTGATTTCGAGCTTGTCGTGTAAATAAAGGTCTAATTAATAATTTCTATTACATCTGAAGCCGAAATAAAGATTTGCAATAGGCAGATTTAGCTCTTCCATAATGTATGTTGTAGCAACTCCAAAGTTGTCCAATGGTTTTGTAACCGAAATCCCATTCAATGCCGACTTGAATTCCAACCATCAAGACTGTTACAGCTACATTCACATATAATAATCGATGCCCAAAAATGTCGCACAAAGTAGAGTGACTCCAGACAAAATGTTTTAATGCACAGTCAATTCAGTACAACTTCGTGGTATTCAGTTAAAAGAAAAGTAAATTGGTGTTTAGAAGGAATGGAAATGTAATTAATTACATCTAAAAAGCACGCGATAGTCCATTAAATTTTAATTCCTTATCAATTACCTTTTAAAACGGGAATTTCATATTTTCTAAGAAAGTCAAAACATAATTATTTCTATGTCTTTTGCTCATTAGGTTATCAACTCACTATTATACGACCATGGGCATTATATCCCACCCTTAAAAATCATTGACACAGGAAATAATAACACAATTACCTCCCTTGTTTTCCTATTGCCTCCATGCATTAGCTACCTTCAAACGTTGGAATTTGAAGTTGAAAATATTTTTGCCAATTTCTCAGCTGGCAATAGTGAATTATAGGACTAATAGGATTATTCTTTAACAAGGTAGGACGGTTTATGGATACCCTCAATTTTAAGGCTTTATTTTAATAAATTTTAAAAATATAACTTAAAAATATGAAATTGTAGCTTTAAGTATTTTAATAATATAATTACACTTTAATTACTTAACAGTTACATTTTAATATTACTGCTCAATAACGTTGAGGGTTAGGGTTAGGGTTGGGTTAGGGTTAGGGTTGTACATGCGTTTCAAATCTGACAAGACTCACAATTTAGCACCAAAGAAGTAAACACACAATGTTGATGATAGACCTCGTTCAGGTCGTCCTAGAGCCACTACACAAGTCCAGGATCGATATATTCGTACACAGGCCCTGCGAAATCGAGGACAAACGGCCAATCAGCTTTCTGTAAACTTGTACCAAGTTACAGGAATTCAAGTTACACCCGAAACGATTAGAAATCGGCTACATGCAGCCCATTTGCATGCGCCAGCACAATCATGGCAAACAGGCGTCAATGGTGTAGGCAGCTTAGAAATTGGGGTAATTGTCGATGGGCGCGTGTAATGTTCTCAGATGAGTCCAGATATACTCTGAATTTCACCGATAGGCGTGCTTGCGTTTGGAGGCGTGTAAATGAGCGTCATGCTAACGTTAACGTCAGACAGCATGACCGATTCGGGCGTAGGTCGGTTATGGTGTGGGAAGGAATCACCATGACTGGCAGAACGGACTTGCATATTGTTCAAGGAAGGGTCACTAGACGTTTTTCTTTGTCGCCACTGACGACAACCTGACAAGGGAACTAGGGCTGGAACATCAAGGGGGTTCTTCGCGTGACCACCTGCGGCGAAGAAAGAGAGAAATGAGGTCGACACAAACTAGGTCATTTCGGGACCAACATACTGTTCAATTTTATTTCTTTCAACAATTATCTTGCGAGGGGTCTTTAGCAGTGGGAGGAAACGGGGAAGGAGCAGTGGGAAACCCACGAACTTGGACAGGCGACCCTACTCCTTATCACGTACAAGCGGGGAATCGAAACCACGCCACTTGTCTCAATGACAGGCATTGAGACAGTGCAAACAAATTCCTGGATTCGCCCCTGACAACGTCACAAATAGAGAAATAATGAACACACAGCAGATACTTACAAAGCATGGAGCCAGTTAGCCAGTAGGCTACTCTATTCATGAGGACCCTCCAAATCTCCCACGCTCACGACTGGAGGAAGTTGAGGAAAGCCGAGGATAATGACAGATGTTTAAGACTATACAGTTCGCGTAAGAAAAGCTTATGCCAGTGTCAAAAATATCATACACCTTGGCCCCTAGATCTTTGATGCCCCAGGTCAATCCGGCACTGCATGGGGTACAATTTCGCAATTATTTTCACGTACATTTGGTAAAGTTACGTTTTCGTAGCAATGCTTGTATGTACATTTAGTGAAAAATTTATTACACTATATGTACATTGCATAACACTTTTGTGTAAAGTTCGTACGATACATGTACTTTTACGTACGTTTCGTACCGCTTTTATGTGCAATTCGTAATCTTATTAACAGCCATTATCAAATTACGTCTTTAACTTTTCACGTACATTTTATATACACTTCCGAACTTTACCGTAACGTCCATTTCGAAACGCATCATTTTTATGTACCTTGATAACACGCCATTTTGGTTCCTTAAATTCTATAATTTGATGAAGCCACCGTGGTTAAGTGGGTAAGACGCTGTTCGATCCCTGCATTATGCCCGTCTTCATTAGCCCAGTATAGGAGCAAACTACAATTTAACACCAATTACTTTTTTAATGTTTACGTATATTTCGTGATAATTCTATGCACAGTTCAAAACAATACTTGTATCTATATTTCGTAACATTGTATGTACATTTCGTAACGATATTTTTGTGTACATTTCGTAACGATATTTTTGTGTACATTTCATAACACTTTATTTTAAATTGCACTTCGTAACTCTTCCATATACAGTTCCAAAAAAATAAATTGCATTTACGTTTTCGTAACACTTTCATGTACAGTTCCAAATAATAATTGTATTTACGTTTCGTAACACTGTCATATACAGTTCCTAATAATAATTGTATTTACGTTTCGTAACACTTTCATGTACAGTTCCAAATAATAATTGTATTTAAGTTTCGTAACACTTTCATGTACAGTTCCTAGCACTACTTTTATGTAGGCCTACAGTTCGTAATACTTTACTTTCAAATTGCACTTCGTAGCCTTACTTTTTATCAATTATCATAATACTTTTCTTTTTTTCCACATTTCGTAACTTATACAGTTCGAAACAATGTATACGTTTCGTAACACTTTCACGTAAAGTTTGTAACAATACTTGGCTCTACAGTTCGTAACAATACTTGGCTCTACAGTTCGTAACAATACTTGGCTCTACAGTTCGTAACAATACTTTCATGTATATTTCGTACCACTTTTATGAACAGTTTGTAACGATACTTTTCAACATCCACCATTTTATTACTGTCTATAAGTTTACAACATGTTTTAACATAATTTACTTGGTTTGGTTTGTTTCACTGTCCGCCAGAAGAAGTCTGGAAGGTTTGGTAAGGCTGAACCTAAAACACCATCAACACCTTCCCCATGACCAGCTGTAATTTCAAAATATGTTTTACAATTAAACGTATGCTTGGAACATTTCGATTACCTCAACATGTCTTTCAATTCTAACTGTCGATGGTTCTGTCCACTAAGAACCAGTTTTAAAAACACTGGAATGTTAGGCGCAGCGTAGCCTGGACACTGAACACGAAGTCTCTCGTGCTCAGTCAATTGTCTCGGATTTGGAGGAGTTGTAGGGGAGGAGGAGGATTCCCCGCCATCCCCACCACCATCGACAACCCCCCTCGATGTTAACAAACAGCCTATCATAGATATAAATTCTGTCCGAATAAATACTTACTTTGGGAAATCATCCTTCTTAAATACCAGTCCCAACCCCCTCGAAAATATTAGACCCGTCCATATCTCATTTGAAGTTAACTGGTAAAGTTAGAGGAACAAAATCTCTTACCTTCCGACATTCGTCTTAATAATGAACCAGCTGATTTTAATACGTCACCCTGGGATGAGTGACGTCTCAGCGCGTGGCGAACAGACGATAATATATTATCCACTTCCAAATGATCTGAAAGAAAAGGAGTTTATTCAGTTTCTTTACATACTGACAGAAAGATAGTACAAATAAAATGGGGTTTAACGTCCTACTGTTCTGCTCCGACTGGGCTAATGAAGACGGGCGTACGACATGCAGTGTTATATGCGGGTAATTTTGCCTAGACAGCTGTACCTCGGCCTACTTTTATATCGAATTCCATCTGTTAAGGAATCATAATAACGGCACGACCCGTAATTGTTACCATAAATAGCCAGTGTTGATATATAACCCATTTTGTGTTCAACTGTAGACAGAGAAAACCGAAAATGAGATGAAAATCAGTAAGTCAATATTTCATTATGACTAAAATAACCTAGCTCCTTTAAAGATGTAAGCGCTTAATCTGTCTATTGCATGCCCTTTTCTGACTTCAAATCTCATATAAATTATTATTAGTATCTAGATATTTATTCACATGGTAAGCTTATAATCAACTCACTAGTACATCGGATGGCCGAGATTTAAAAGGATTTGAACACCCGCGAGATTTAAAAATTTAATAATTAAATGGATAATTGAGACTTAGTCGCGGTTGTCAAGTACCGTTACGATAATAACAAATCTACGCTACATCTTCAAACAGTCATAACTCCACCCAGAATAAAGTCATTTGAATGAATCCATTTTTCATTATTTATATTTAAACTATTACAACAACGTCAAGCTCTTTCTCTAAATCTCACATACTTCATCTTTAAAGATACATTATGGGAGATTTGATAAAGAGTTGGCAGTTCTCACTATAATAGTTAAAAACTAGATACCGTAAAGGCAATTTGCTGAAAATTTCATTCAAATTGATCCACTATGAACCGAGAACTAAGCGATTGAACTAGCCTCGATCATCATTACTAAAGTCAGTACGATAAACAGCATAGTCTATATTATCCATTTAATCGTTAAATCGCGAAGCAAAGTTATGCAGTAAATTGGCTCATAATCCACTAAAGATCGCAGGCTAGATTTGATTATGGTCTGGATAGGTTAGTTAATGTCTAATTAATAATTTAGATAACATTTCAGACTTAAAGAAAGACCTGCAATAGACAGATTTATCTCTTGCATAATGTACATGTTTAAGCGATAACAATATATCTTGAGTCGTAAAAGATGCTGCCTTACCTCCCTTAAACTGTAGTCGACAGATGGCCGTGCAGCCGTAGCTCTGTATTTCATGGTTTTCCATAAAGCGATCCATGGCCATGATAACAATTCTATGAATTTCATCAACTTTATCTCCTTCAACTGCAAAACAAATCACTATAAGGTTGACCTTAACCTTAAAGAAGAAAGGGAGCCGCGGTTACTCATTGGGCAGGGCGGAAGGACTGACAAGGGACAAAGTATAGTTGTTCGGAAGTGACGCAAAATCCGAGGACTATCCGTCTACTCGTTGTCGTACACGTAAATAACTCTGATCACGTGAAATTCGATTTAAGATTGATGGACACCACACGTCATATTGTATACTCGTCTTTATTAGCAGGATTGTTTCAGGGACGGATCTAGGAATTTTGAAAAGGGGGGCGCCGCAAAATGAGGGCACTGACCGCAGAGACGGGGCACGCCGCTGAGAGGGGGGTTTTTTGGGTGGGGGGGGGGTCCCCCAAGAAAATTATCCGTCATTTCCTTGCATCTGTAGGCATTCCAAGAGCTATTTGGCTGATATTTTCGTCTAAGTAAACGTTCGGAAATCGTTGAAAAAGAGCCTTAAAATCGAGCAAAAAAGCCAGTTGAACATGCGACTCGAAAATTGTCATGGCGAGCGAGGCATTGTGATAGGAAAAAAGACGAATCTATTCCATAGCCACTTCACTATTTAAGCCTTGTAACTTGTACTGGGTACTGTCCACACATGAAACAATGCTACATTAAGTTGCACTCATGCGTGTCGGTGATGGGCATGAGTGTATACGCCGCCGATTCCACAAGATGCTATCATTGATGTCTGTCTATAGTCACTCTATAGGATTAGGGCAACGTCAGCTAAACAACAAGAATTCGTTTGAAAGTGGAAGCATTAATTAGACCAGACTGGTGTGTTTGGGTCGATGGTTTGAGTCATTTGGGATCCCTGCAACGGGTTGGGAATGGACATATTTGGGACTGAGAAAAGACAGTTTCAGCAGTAAAAAAAGGGCACTGTCGAAAATTAGGATCCGCCTCTGTGTGTTAAACCGCCATATAAGGGTATAAAGAGGGCGTATATCATTGCCCTCATATCTCTCACAGTCTGGTTCTCCGGGTGTAGGTTCGAATCCCAATTCTGACCAAATAAAGCTTTCATGGGGGGGGGGGGAGGTTGCCGAATGGTTTAACGCATGCGCTTTACATCGTAATATCTGTTGTTGAGTCAAATGGCGAGGTTTTGATTATCCGCTTGTACGGTACAAAAAAGTATATTCGCCTGTCCAATCTCGTGGGTTCTCTCCAGTTCCTTCAATTATTAAAATAAAACTGAACCATATGACCCAGATTTTGTCGAGTGGACATTAAAGGACAATATTGGTGTCAGTCATTATCACATGTAATAGAACTGGTTGAACACGTCCCAAATATAATTGTCTTTAGAGGCGTAAAGAAAATAGATGCGTAATAGTCCGTGCATTACCATGTTTTTAAAAGTAGAGAATGAATAAAAAGAAGGGAATGCACGGGCTATTTCCTTTTGTCTCGTTTTCTCTTGACATTGACATTCAATTATTTATTTTTTTGATTTTTTTTGAATTGTCAGATATCCTTTCACAATCTCGTATAACAACTTTTGGTCTTCGAAGGAATTATCGGTGAGAAGAAATTCGCCCGAGTATCGCTCGTTACTTCAGTCACTTATATAGAAGGATAACTTATGTTTTCCGTTTGCTTTCGTCACTTCCGTTTCTGCAAATCTTCGTTACGCATCTATCGTAGTAATGATCTCTGTGTTAACATTATATCTGGAACGTATTTAACCAGTTCTATCACAAATTATGTGATAATGGCTGACACCAATATTGTCCTTGAAACCCCACTTCTCCCGCCTACCCCTTCATTAACCTGATTGGTGCAGAAAGATAGGACGTTAAACCCCATTACATTTGTTTATAGTAAATCTGATTACCTATGGGTGCTAAGCTTGCTAAAACCATCAATGCTAAAACATGTAATCTATGTTCTGTTGGATGTAATTCTAATGCTGTTGATATACAATCTATGCCGCCATCTTGTATTATGACTCTATCTACGTCACCTGTATAATAAAAACATATATTATAGGTTATAAATGTGCTAAAGGAATTAACTCATTTTGTGACCTTCAGGTATTTGTTAAAGTTGGATTTACGAATTTGTTGACCCTTGAGATGATTTTTTCTTAATGGGGGATTTACGATTTTTGTGACCTTCAGATATTTGTTACAGGTGAATTTCCAAATTTCGTGATCTTCAGGTATATTTTATAGGGGGACGAAAACCCTAGGTCCCGTGTGCACACTGGCGTGTACATAAAAGAACCCTTGATAGTTTGAATTCGATATAAGAGTAGGCCGTAGCGCCGCTGTCCGGGCAAAATTTCCCTCGTTATAAACTGTATGGCGTATGCCTGTCTTCATTAACCCAGTAGGTACGGAACAGTAAGACGTTAAACCCCATTTTATTGGCCCAATAGGTACGGAACAGTAGAACGTCAAACCCCATTTCATTGACCCAATAGGTACGGGACAGTAGGATGTTAAACCCCGTTTCATTGGCTCAATAGGTACTGAACAGTACTACGTTAAAATCCATTTCATTTGCCCAATAGATACTGAACAATAAGACGTTAAACCCTATTTCATTGACCCACTAGGTACGGGGCAGCAGGACGTTAAACCCCATTTCATTGGCTCGATAGGTAGGAACAATAGGACGTTAAATCTCATTTAATTAGCCCAATAGGTACGGAACAGTAGGACGTTAAACCCCATTTCATTAGCCCAGTAGGTACGGAACAGTAGGACGTTAAACCCAGTAGGTATGGAACAGCAGGACGTTAAACCCTGATATAAGTAATGTTAAACTTACAATCATTCTCTAGTAGACATGAAATGGCACCACAGCAAATTACCTGTAATTCTGTGTGAGATTTAAACGTTCTCATTACCTGTAAAATACCATCAACTGCTTCCGATGTTATTAAACCTGTTGATTCACAACCTGTTGAAATAAAACATTAAAATCATCATTCAAATAAACATTAAAGTTATGTTTCGTCTAACATAATTATTATCTGAAAGCATTACACTTGCGGTGACACAAATTACATAACAAGTCTCGTTTCTTTCAGCAGATTATTATCTGAAAACATGGCTAAATCATTTGTTAAGGCCAGCTCATTTTTTGTCAAGGGTTTGAGTTGGGATCAGTTTACATCTCGTGACCTTTGACGACCTGAAAGCATGACAATTAGTAACCCAATTTACAGAAGGGATTTGTTCAGCATGACAATTAGTAACCCAATTTACAGAAGGGATTTGTTCAGGCCTTGGTTTTGTTTTGTTTTGTTTTGTTTTTTTTTTGGGGGGGGGGGGGGTTGTTTCATGCGAACGACTTAACGATTTTCGAACTTTCTTTGCTAGTACACCCCCCACCACCACCACTTCTCGTTCTGTACCATTGTTAAGGGGAAAGCATGCTGGAAAATACCGAGGAAATATTATTATTTCCCTGTGAACGAACTAATCCAAACTAAGTTTCTCCTGAGAGTCTGTCTTTTAGCACTTATGTGCACTATTCTTTTTTAAAAGTTATTTGATTCGATCAACTTAAAATATTTTTTATCATTATGCAAATTACTACAGAATACAAATCTATATTTCGTTTCGTTTTTTTTATACTTTAGATGGCCACCACTACATGAAGATTTGACCAGTTAAGGTGGGAGGTCGACTCAGGGGTCATACGAGAGGCGTTTGACCCTATGACATTAGTAATTCTATTAACCACTCAGCATCGGTGTTCCAAGTGGCTATTCGGAAATACAATTTTTTTCTTGTTTTGTTTTAATTACCATTTGTTTGACAAGGGTTGTAATGAGACGGGTATAACGAAATTCTGAACTATCAAAGCGAAAAGAAATCGGATCTGTGTTTTAATAAGATTGTAGGTAGGCCGAGACACAAATATTTTGACAACGGTTATCATGAAGTAGGATTTTGAAGTGGAAATCTAAACTATAAACTAAAATACCGAAGGTCTCTCCTACTCACCCATAGCTAAAATGGCGATTATTTTACATCCGGCTTGTTGGATGTCAGCGTGATAAATAAACTTAGACATACATTGTAATATTACCGGTAATCTGTCATCCTTTACAAATATTCTATAGCCATTTTCTGAAGTAGAAAAAGAAATCTGTTAATTTTCAACGTCATTTTAAAACAATAAAATATATGTATTAACATCTGCCCGAGACACAAACACAAAGATACTATTTTAATGAAGAGAGTAAAACGAAATTTTGAACGATAAAAAACGAAACGAAATAGGATATGTGTTTTAATTAGATTGCGCAATGACAATTCATGTGAAGACAAATAGTTGATATATGAGATCAGATTGAAACCAACTATTCATAAAAGCACATTAGTTAGTTCGTAAACTCGTGACAAGGAGTAGAGTCGCTTGTCCAGCCTCTTGGGTTTTCCCCGGGTCCCCCGGTTTCCTCCCACTGCTAAAGGCCCCTACGCTCAAGCGAATTATAGAAATAAAATTGAACCATGTGTTAGTCCCGAAATGACCTAGTTTGTGTCGAGCTTCTGTTAAACACCATTTGTCTCTCTATCTCAGTTAGAAAACTAGTATTGTTTGTCTGTGTGGCCGAGATTAGAAATAAGAAATTGTCGGCCTACCTGTAGTTATAATATTTTCCATGGTCTGACAGAAATAAAGGCAAATATCAGCATTAGTGCAACACTCGCCTAATATACGCAATAACGTATCATCTATAGACTCGGTCATTTCAAACGGTAAATCTGGAGAAAAAAAATATCAAAACGTTGTTGGGCTACGAAAATACTCCCATCAGAAGTTTTGTTAACGTCCAATTAACACAAATGATATGAATTGTGAGTTTAGTGTCCTACTTTTCAGACCCATCCGGGCTAATGACGACTTGTTAACGTCCATCAGCCGTTTTGCTTACATCCATCAGCCGTTTTGCTTACATCCATCAGACGTTTTGTTTACATTCATCGGACGTTTTGTTAACGTCCACCAGACGTTTTGTTTACGTCACTCAAATGTTTTGTTTACGTCCATCAGACGTTTTATTTACGTCCCTCAAACGGTTTGTTTACGTCCATCAAACATTTTGTTAACGTCCATCAGACGTTTTGCTTACATCCATCAGAGGTTTTGTGAACGTCCATCAGACGTTTTGTTTACATCCATCAGTCATTTTGTTAACGCCCACCAGACATTTTGTTATCGTCCAATTACCACAAATGATATGAATTGTGGATTTAAGAGAAGAAAAAAGTAAGACTGCTTGATAAATAGATCATAATAATGTTTTAAGAGTAGAAGGTTATTAATTCATATTCGATGTCTCAGCACAAAGATATTTTTAATGGAACACTTTAATTATTTCCATATAGAAATGAATGAAATGGGGTTAAGTTACTTTTCTGCACCAACTGGGCAAATGAGTCCCACCTGTCAAAGGTTCTTGAACGTGCACACCTCGACGTTTCAGTCCACCCGAACGTCCCACTTTTCTGCTCCATTCCGGCTAGTGAAGACGAGCATGCTCAATACAGTGTGATATGAAGGAAATGATTCTCGGAGAGCGGAGCCATGCCCTACTATTATTTCAGATATCTACTATCAAGTATATTTTACATCCACGTCAGGTGTTCGTCCTATCCGAACAACTAGACATTTTTCTTGCAAAGGTCCTCCACCTTGCACATTAGTATAACAAGTAAATACCTGTAAGAGCTGACAGGCCACATAAAATCATTGAACAAAATGTCTGTATCTCTATAGAATCAATGTTCCTATTACTGACAGTTATAATAGTCCTCAATCCATTATCATCTAATACATCGTGGCATACACCTTCTGTAATAATAATAATACAAATACACTATTATGATAAATACAGCTCGACATACACATTCTATAATTATTATAATATAAATACATTAATACATCTCGACATACACATACTGTAATAATATTACAAGTAAACAGTTATCACACTAATGTTACGTGACATACACTTTCTGTAATAATAATAATAAATACACAATTATAACACACCAATACATCGTGCCATACACCTTCTAAATATACTATTAAAAAATACTTTAACACTGATTCTGGTGACAATCAAACTATAACGTGAGCAGCGATAAGACCCATGATTATTATCTCATCGGAATTTCTAGACAATTCGGGTTGGATATATTTAAACATAATTTTATGAAATATAATTTTCTAATATAGTTTATAATTTTTAACTGTTTCCGTTTTAAAATTTCTAGCATCTATTAGCTGGTTCTGGTTCATCAAGGAATTAATTACCTAAGCTTATGATATTTCCTAAAGCCTTTAAAGCTCCAAGCAGCATACATTTATCATTCTCAAAGTTTCTGATGCAGGTGAGTAAGGCGCTAACACCGCCATTCTTCATTACTTGTATTTTATTAACTTGAACTGAAAATATAATTTGAAAAAGCAATGCATTACCTAGAGTCTGATTAGTCATTTTGGGACTAACATGGTTAAATTGTATGTCAATAATTCGCCTTTAGCAGTGGGATGAATCCTGAGGCCCCGAAAAAAACCCAGCGAGGTTGGACAGATGACCTTACTCCTTGTCACGTCAATCATTAGGACTGGGGTCCGGGCTGAGAAATCTGTATTTCATAACAGGAAGGTGTGGGTGATACTGACAAGGGCCACCCAGGTACTAATTCAGAAAGGGCACAATATCAATTTTTCAGTGCCCAGCGGAGCGAGTCTAGAAATATAATAAATAGCAACGTCCTAATTCCATAACACGAGCCTTGGAGGCCGGGGTGGATGTATTAAAAGATGGGCTCCAATCTTAGATACATTTAGTTTTAACATGGTGATTAAAATACGACACTAAAATCTTTTAGAGAGTGATCCGCCCCTGGTTCCTCCTTGGAACCAGAATTGATTTGAAATAAGCTTCTTCATGTCCCTTACGTCATTGATGAAAATAAGACTATAGGTCCAATAAGTGTCAGACCCTTAGACATTTTACAAATAGCAGTCGGACAAATGAGTGGACCCAAAGACATAAACGTATATATATACATACCATCTGCTGTTAGATTCATGAGAGCCATACACCCATACTCCTGTATCTCAGTAGACATCTGCAATGCTAACATGGCGCTGATAACTGCCCTGGAAGCTCCACTCTCTTCCGTTTCTTTCCTTAGCACTTCTGTTGAATAAATATTAAAACATGTATTCGAAATATAATTTGCCCGGACAGAGGCGCTACAATCTACTCTTTTTTCGATGTTTATAACGTGCTGCCATCGCTATAGGCATGGCCTTGGGAGTTCGTCCCATTTGAACGACTATACGCTTTTTCTCGTGGGTTTTCTCCCGGTCCTCCGGTTTCCGCCCACTGCTAAAGACCGAAATGACCCAGTTTGTGTCGAGTGGACGTTAAATCCCACGCTAAGTATGAAATATAAAACAATTTTTTCTTACCATAAACGCCCATATTGCCCAAAATACGACAGCCATGTTCTTGTACACCGTTGTGTTCTGGGAACGTTGCCATGGCTTCCACGACTTTTCTGACGCCATCTTTATTTAACAATAATCTTTGGTTTTCTATTTACAAAAAAAAAAACATTTTAGATTTAGATAAACTGGTCATTCCTGGAAGAAACTCTTTATTTTTAATTAAGACAAAATTGTCTTCACAAACTGTGACGAACTGGATATTTCAGATTGTGTCGAACTAGTCATTTTTAGTGGTGCTGAACATTGCCGATTGGCAGGATTATTACTTGCAATAACTGAATTAATGCTAGCATTAATGGGAGCGATCAACAATTGGATTATTTCAATGCATGCTGTAGTAAGAAGAGTTAAGCGGGCGTGATTTATTGGTTCATTGGACGTTTTACAGCACTGTTGGACCGACACATGTAGGGGAATGGTCTAGCTAGAATACCAAGTTCGTTCGTTAGTAAGGAATATAACTGAGAAATAAGTGGTTTAGGATATCAAGCCCTGTCATAGTGTAGAGCTAAACGTTCGCTTCCATCCACTGTTTCGTAGGGACGTTGCTCGAAAGCCACTTGTGATGAGAGTCTAATCCGCCATCGGGTGGGTACGTGAGGTCGAGAGAGGAATTTCATTGCCTGCATTACTTTGGTCCCTTTGAAATCGTACAATTTGAGATACAGTGTGCAAAGAATACCAACGACAGGAAGGGTGTGTCTAAGGCCCGCTAGAGCGTGATTAACTGATTGAATGTGTTAATTCATAGCACCGTGTTTATGAGAGCTGTACAAGAGCAATATAGGATGCCGAGAGGGCGTTAAACTGAGAACTGTAGGGGAGTGATCTAGAATACTAAGGGCGTGACCCTTACATACCTAATGACGGTTGGTACGGTGTGATTAAATGTTAATTTGGAAATCCGACATCGTACGGGATCGTTAAAATATTCCGGATTACACAGCATAACGGAATGCTCAATACCAGAAGTATTATTGTACCTTAGAATATCGGAAGTATAATCTTCTTCTGTCATATATGGACACAGCTCACCAAATATTTTAGCCTTTCTCCTCCTTTCTCTTTTCATCCTTTGACATGGCGATTTTTGTTGACTTTTTGGTGTAGAATCCAAGAAAAGGGTTTAAAAATAATCCTCTGCCAGGTTTAGGTAAATATTTATGATTTTGAAGGCGGGAGGATACAAGAGTTGCTCATTTTGAAATGTGGGGCGGAAAATTGAATGTTTTTTGGTCTTTACTTCCAGTTTGTGTATCTTAAGTTTTCCATGGTGAACCTCAAACGTGCTTTTGAGCAAGAAAATGCCACACGTTGCTCCATCTGTGGTGGAAAGCATTCTACCCAACGAAAATTTGGGAACAAGTTAGAGCCGGTCTAAGATACGAGAATATATAACATTAAAATCAATGGAGAAATCATTAGTGATCTGTGGCCATATCGATGTTACATATTTACGTTGCTATAGCGCTCGAATTTTTATCACACAATTAAACAAATTTTCAGGAGAATACCCTTCAATACCTGTGGTAAGAAGGGCTTTGCTACGTTGGTGTGATTAATTGATTAGAGTATGAGGTCCCTCATACATACCTGTGGTAAGAAGGGTGTGGCTAATTAAGTGGGTGTGATTAATTGATTATAGTATCTCACATACATACCTATGGTAAGAAGGGTGTGGCTAAGAGCTGAAAGAGCGTGATCAAGTATACCAAGATTTTCCGGGTACTGTGTTAGCTGGTCGACGAGAATGTGCAACACACGATTACAGCTCATATAAGCTGACGTTGTATCTGAAATATAAAAAAAAAATAATCATTACATTTATTTATTCTATTAGAACATCATGTATTTTTGTTTATTATTTCAAATGTGGTGTTTTTGAAATGTTGAACTATTTTTGCTGTGCATTGCAGACAAGTTTTTACCTCCTAGCTATAAAGTTTATAGTACGTCGTGCACTGATGGAATCGTGCAGAGATAGAGATAGCATACTAGAACACCATATTACTTTTGTAGAACTGTATCATCAAAGCACATGTAAGTAAAAGGGCTAACCACGGTTGGCCAATTCGCTGTGTACATTACAGATAGCATACTAGAACACCATATTACTTTTGTAGAACTGTATCATCAAAGCACATGTAAGTAAAAGGGCTAACCACGGTTGGACAATTCGCTCTGTACATTACAGGTACATTAGTACTTTAGAGGTTATCGTAGACTATTAAACTGTGACCTCGTTCCATTTGGCAATACGGAGGGCCTGACAAGGACAGCTGTCTAGTCGTTCGGATGGGACGAAAAACCGAGGTCCCGTGTATACATTGGTATGCACGTAAACTATCCCTTGGCAGTTGGAATTCGAATAAAAGAGTAGGCTGTAGTGCCGCTGACCGGGCAAAATTTCCCTCATAGCGCACTGTATGGCGTATGCCCGTCTTCATTAGCCCAGTATAGCAGCAGAACAGTAGGACGTTAAACCCCATTTAATTTCATTTCCTTGTTAGTGGGCCAATGTCAAACTCTCTGAGCTACCGCGACTCCGAATATAAGAAATAATAAAATGTAATATCTCACCAAGGACTGCTAAGTTACATATAATTCTAACACCGTACTCCTGAATGGTCTCTTCCTCCCTATATCTTTCTATAGATGTTAACAATGTATCCACTCCATCTAACTCCACTAATTCTTCACAAGTATCACCTAACACAAAAATAGAAGTTTACCTTTTCAGTGTGTTATGTCGTAATCCTGCTCAAATATCATCCCGGTTGGGGAGGTCAGGCTGGTTAGGGAAGAGATCGCTTCGGTTGGGGAGAACAGGTGGGTTAGGGACGGGAGATCACCTCAGTAGGGGAGAACAGGCTAGTTAGGGAGGGGAGGGGGGATAATCTCGATTAGGGAGAACAGGACGGTTAGAGAGGGGCATCACCCCTGTTTCGAAAAACATGTCGGTTAGAGAAGAGACATCGCCTCGGTATCGGGGGATGGGCTCTAGATCTCCTCGGATGGGGAGAACAGGGCGGTTAGGGAAGATAACTCCTCGGTAGAGGCAAACAGACCTCTTGAGATGAATGGGGGGGGGGGACATGACCTCGGTTAGGGAGAACAGGTCGGTTAGGGGGGATGGAGGTTATATCTCCTCGGTTAGAAAGAACAGACCGGTTAGGGATGGGACATCACCTCGGCAGGGGAGAACAGGCCGGCTAGGGGGAACGAGGGCTAGATCTCCTCTGTTTGGGAGAACAGGGCGGTTACGGAAGATAACTCCTCGGTAGGGGCAAACAGGCCTCTTCAGGTGAATGGGGGCTAGATCTCCTCGGTTAGAAAGAACAGATCGGTTAGGGATGGGACATCACTTCAGCAGGGGAGAACAGGCCGGTTAGGGGAACGGAGGCTAGATCTCTCCTCAGTTGGGGAGAACAGGGTGGTTAGGAATGAAAACTCCTCAGTTGGGTAGAATTTACTTTTTGTCTCACATTTTCCATTTCTTAGAACAAATACCACAGTAAACAAATACTGCACAACATTCTATATAGATACATTTTATTCCCCCCCCCCTCTTCTCTTCAATCTCTACTGTATCTCGTCTTTACAGCTTTCTTATCTTGTCCCATTTGCACGTCCACACAAGCAGTTTTTTCCCCCAACCCCACCACTACTGGAACATGGATAGGCCCCGCACCAGACGCCCACTCCTTCCCACACCAACTCAACTACCAATGGAATGGCCACAGCTACGAAGCAGATTCCAACCACCACCAGGCTTCCACCAACCACCACCAGGCTTCCACCAACCACCACCAGGCTTCAACCGACCACCACCAGGATTCCACCAACCACCACCAGGCTTCAACCGACCACCACCAGGATTCCACCAACCACCACCCGGATTCCGCTACCAGCACCAACCAAGTCGACAACCAAACCAACCAAGTCGACAACCAAACCAACCAAGTCGACAACCAAACCAGCGCCAACCAAAACGACAACCAAACCAGCGCCAACCACCCCCAGAAAATGCAGGTGTCGTGAAAGCCTTCTTTCAGGTCCTCCAATGCCTCCACCACTTGACCATTATGGAGAGTCAGGAGAATGGAACACCAACCAGAAGTTTCACTTGGAAGATCCAAGACCTGAATAAGTTCGTGAAGCCGGCCATGAAGACGCCTACCATAGCCACTACCATTGAGACATTGAACTTGAAATGGGCCAAGGACGTCGCCTCATCCCTGTCGACACACTACCGAGCCATGCTAGCGGAGAAACTGGAGTACTTGAAGTCACGTCACTTTTCCAAAGATGCTGTACAAGAGTACTCTAGCCACGCCCTAGCATGGGCCAAGAAGTCCTACGGCAAGCGACTTCAGGATAGTGTGAAGACAGAGTTCCACCGCCTACTGTCCACGGTCTCTAAAACTGTCACACCCCCTCCCCCATCACCCATGCACATAACGCACAACCTTCTCCGGGACACACCAAAACGATACACACCCAACAAGAGAAAATTATCCCCTGGAGAAGGCACTTGCATTAACACTCCCTCGAAGCGTGCAGCTAGATCAACCAGTTCGCCCCGGGCTGTGTCTGGCTCACCTACTTCCTCGGGATCTATATCGCCACTAAACGCGCTTGTCGACTGTCTGTCCCCTAGATCGCCCATCATTCCTAACCCTAGAATCGCCACCAGATCTTCCACCAGATGTAGGCGATCACTCAACCTATCCCTAAAGAGACCTCACAGCTACAAAGGTAAAGACGAGAAGGATTTATGGTTCCTACCACCCGTCATGGCAAAGACCCTGGTTATTGGATCCTCTAACCTGGCTAGGATTGCATCCTTCGTCGGGGACTGGGAGATCCATAGCTACTCTGGAGCCAAGATCAGCCACATCAGACAGATAATCCAGAACTACATGGGTCCTGCACCAGAGGAATTAGTGATACACGTCGGGCTCAACAACAGGGAGGAAAGTGGACCAAGGATACACGAGCAGATGCTAGATCTACTCAAGGTGACCAGAGCAGCTTTCCCAACAACCAAGCTCTTCGCCACACAGATCCCCACTTCTTCCCGACTCCGACAAGAAAATCCGATCGCCTACCAAAACATCACCAGCTACAACCAACTGATCTCCACTGCACCCTCACCAAACGCCACCACATTACCAACCTTCAAGGGCAAAATAGAACTGAAAGGTAACGACGCAATCCACTGGAGCCCAGACACGGCCAGAGAGATCATCAACTGCTGGATGAGGAATTTAAACTAGGATTAGGGAAAAGGAATGAGAAGCCGTCTTTAGGACAGACAGTTGTCAATTTGAGCGACAGACTTCTCAACCCCCTAGAAATGAACATTCTTGATAAAGGCCTTAAATTCATCCCAACCCCCACAATAACATCCATAGACCCCATCACCCAGGCAACCGATCGCTTCCAAAGAACACTTTCGTTGACTTATTTTTTTAGGAACAAACCCGGCAGAGGTAAAAAATTATTCACAGTAAAATCCACATGGAAACCACCTAAAAAGTCATTATCACCAGCCATCCTAAAAACTTTCGACGAAATGAATATAGAAATATCATCCATTCAACCACAGTCACAAAAACCAAATCTCAACCGAGCAACTAAAACGGCATTAAACACCCTTAAAAAGGACAAAAACATAATAATTAAGAAAAGCGACAAAGGCTCGTGTTGTGTCATAATGAATCGTGCAGACTATATCTCAGAGGCAGAAAAACAATTAAGTAATCCTATACATTACACTAAATTAGACCAACCAATCTTTAAGGACACCGCAAATTTAATAAACAACATCTTATATGAATTGCAGGATAAGGAATACATAACAGCAAAACAATATGATTATCTATCTGCTAAATCTGACTGCCGACAAAGACATCTCTATACACTACCAAAAATACATAAAAATCCAGAATCAGAATGGTTTATACCTAATAAAATACCCAAGGGACGCCCAATAATATCAGACTGTGGCAGCGAATCATACAACGTATCACAATATATAGACCATTTCTTATTACCCCTAGCATGCCAACACCCATCCTACCTTAAAGACACTAACGATTTCATTCAGAAAATCAAACAGTTAAGAGTCCCCGAACACACCGTTTTAATATCCATCGACGTACAAAGCATGTACACGAACATTGATAATAACATAGGTATTGAAGCAGTTAGGAAAGCATTTCTTAGGAACCCGCAAGCATCCAGGCCGGACGAAGAAATCCTCAAATTACTCAACATTTGTCTGAGGAGGAATGACTTCGCTTTTAACGACCAAGTATACCTTCAGTCTTCCGGAACTGCGATGGGAAAACGATTTGCCCCGAGTTATGCAAATCTCTTCATGGCGGAGTGGGAAAGGGAAGTTCTGCCACTCTGTCCATTAAAACCAGATTTCTATGGGCGGTTTTTAGATGACGTTTTCATAGTCTGGACCTACACACTAGACGAATTTTGGACGTTTTTCAACATCCTGAACAATCATCATCCATCTATCAAATTAACCGCAAATGTAAGCCATAACAGCATAGATTTCCTTGATACTACCGTTTTTAAAAGTAACAACACCAAAATCACAGGCCAATTGGAAACTAAAGTATTTTTCAAAGAAACCGACACACATCAATTATTGTTCAAAAGCTCCTTTCACCCAAAACATACATTCTCTGGCATCATAAAATCTCAGATTCTCCGTTTTCATAGGATATGTACTCAGAAGACCGACTTTGAGTCAGCATGTACATTGGTATTTAGCAAACTACGGGAAAGGGGATACTCCAAACGCTATCTACGACGTATAAAAAACAACACTCTAGCTGAGCTTGCCGCCAAAGAAACAAATAATATACAATCAGCACATAAAACCAATATTTGTGGCCATCCAAGATGTCAAACATGCAAAATCTTAAACATATCCGACCATTTCCATAACAAAACATCTGGCACAAAATTCCCAATATTAGACCAACTTTCATGCAGTAGTTCAAACATAATTTATCTTATCTCATGCAGAAAATGTGACAAGCAATACGTAGGGGAGACTCAAAATGCACTTAGGGAAAGAATTAACGGCCACCGGTCTGACATAGTCACCAAAAAAGACAAACCTGTCTCAATTCATTTCAACCAACCAAATCATGACATTTCAGATCTCATTGTCACGCCAATAGAAAAGACCAAGAGCGACTTTGAAACTTCAGAAGAAATTAAAACGTTTAGGCTAACAAGAGAAAAATTCTGGATTGACAAATTGAAAACAACAGCCCCCCTAGGTTTGAATATTCATACGGCTAGCGCAATAGCTCCTTTTGTAGTTCCATTTAGCGCAACAGCAGCAAGTGCGTCCAAAATCATCAGAAAACACTATACTGATCTCCAAGAAAATCACCCGAAAATATTCACACAGAAACTTATAATTGCATATTCTAAAAATAAAAATCTGAACGACATCCTAGTGCACAGTAAATTAGATTAAATAAGACCAGTCTCCACCCTGACCCAAAACAAACCATATATCAAATCCTATGCCTAACCGTTAGTAATTAAAATCAAGTAGATATAAGAATCCCTAGCCGTAACCCGGTGATGTGGAACAAACACGATTTTTTTATAAAATCCAATCCGTTGTAGGAAACACACTAATGTGGCTCTCTCCCGAGAGCCTCAAATTTATTTTCTTTTCTCTTCAGAAACAACAATACCAGAATACCAGAAGCACCACCCAAGGAAGACCATCAGCGCCACCAACACCAATAAACAGTGAAATCGCCTTTGTATATAAATCTAATGTATTGTATGTATTTTAATAAAACTAGGAAATATCACGAACTAATTTTTCATCATCCTAGGTCAGTGCTTATATGGAGACTTAACCTCTCCCCCCAAATTCTTAAACCTAAACCCTGGGATGTGGCAATTGCTGTCCTCCCCAAACAACATTATTCCTGACATAACTGTCCAATGTGTATACAGTACCAAAGGTTATGTGGAGACATATCTATAACGGAGGGGAAAAATAACCTTCGCCATTTATTTCCCTTGTTGAATTGAAACAAAATTTCCAGTCAGTCACCACATAAGCTATTGCCGCAAACAGCCCGATTTAGAGAATGCTTGTCAACATAAATGCGGACGTTTAAACATTTAACTAAAATACTTACCCATGGATGTTAAACAAGCCAAAGCCCAAAGAGCACACTCCTGAACTGTGACGTCATCTTTAGTCTGTTCTAGAACCGATAGAACAGTTTTAGTTCCACCAGCCTGTGCTACGTCTAAACAAATGTTGTCTGCAATTAGAAAATTCAAACACTATTTGGCGTGTTTAACTGAGAGTTCCGAATTAACAGAATTAAAATCGAATGACACGGAATCGAGTTCAGTTTCCAGAATCAGGTCTCCTCAACCCCCAAGTAGTGTTGTCTATTATGTAAATTAGGAAACGTTTATATTCAGTGTAAATCTGACCATTGGAGAGACGGATGTTCCACCATTATGTTTGATTTAGATCTCGAAGATATGGAGAGGGCGTTTCCCGAATCTATGACATTCTTGTTAAATATGCTTTATGTAAGATTTTGACAAAGCGCTGACGGTTCCCTTTCTAGTAGATAAAACATAGATAATGAAAAGGGAATATGTTGAATATTTCAGTCAAAATACTCCATTCTGAGCAGAGTTGCAGAACAGTGCAGTCTCGATTGTCATTGCCGTCGTTGTTACAATAATAAACAAAGTTTCGGTTATCCATCCATCATTAAATATCAGTCGTATTTAAATTCTAGAGAGTTGATTGTGGTTCGGGCATGTCAATAAATGTCTAATTAATAATTCAAATAACATTTGGGACCAAAAGAAAGATCTGCACTAGGCAGATTTAGCTCTTGAATATTGCATCTTTAAAGTTACAAACGTACTCGTTTGCTTGCTAGAGTTAAACATCTGTGTCCACGGTGAGGGGCGGATCCAAAAAGGGGGGGGGGGTGCTGCCCCCACTTGGGAGTGCGAACCCGGCCCTCCGTGGGCGAACTGACGGGCAATCAACCAAGTCACCACACTACCATTTTAAAGTATTTTTGTTCTCCTTTCCCGCGAGAATATATGGGACAAAAAATTGTTCGCCACTGCAAAACAGCGCCCGCCCCCCCCCCCCTCCTGGATCCGCGCCTGCACGATTGTTATTTCACAGACCAAAGGCCAGTACCACCGAAACCTTTATAAATGATGAAAATCTTAAAGCGAAAATATCTTACCAAATGCAGCAAAACTTCCGAGAGCCCGGCAGCCATTTTCTAGAATAGTGTGGTTGTCATGAAATTTATACATGACGCTTATAATAGTGTGTACACCTCCAACTAACATGATCTGTTTAGCTGTGTCTTCTGATATATATAAACAAACAAATTCAAATTAATAATTTCGGTAGCCATCTTTGCGCCCATCTTGACAATAATATTACATGACGTCATAGAACCACGTGGCGCAGTTATGGTTTAATCATTTATACGTCATTATCATCAATTTTATTCAATCATTTTGTATATGACTCTAAATGTAATCATCATGACTGACCACTTTTAAGAATTAAAATAACTTTAACGTCACGGACGCCATCTTTGATTCCTCCGCATTGTAAAATAAATCCCTGGTTTATGATACATATAGCGCTCGCTTATCATTTTTCATTTCTTATATTTGATTATTTTTCGATTTACATGTAACTCAATTTATTTCAGTTGACCGCAGTTTTACTAAAAATCACTGATCAATTATGCACCACTTTATGTAGTAATATCGTCGTTGCGACATTGTTTTTAAATTCATAGGCAAGGAATAGAGATATAAGATGGTTTAAACAATATTTTTATCTTTACAAATTATTCTCTATTGTCAGTATATTAAGGTATGAGTTTATTTAAAATGCAAATCAATTGTTTATGAAATAGTGTGAGAATAACAGGAAAGAGGGTCTAAGTTCAAGGATAGATTGTGTCAAAAAACATGTGACTGGAAATTTACCTATTGCGTCATTTGGTTTAGTTTAACCAATCTCTGTAATTATTTACATCATATTTGACCAATTAGATAATTGAACGTCCAAAGCCCAAAACTATAAAACTATCATATTGGGGGGGGGGGGGGGCGATTGTCAGACAACAGACAGATTCTGGAAGGGAAAAGATGTAGCAGCGAGTCTGGCTAGTGTATTAGTATGAGAATGACTTTATTCTATTATGCATGGTACCATATGTAAGCAGCTATATGATATATAAAATGTAAAAACGAAGTGTTGCATTGTTATAACTACAGCGAAGACAACCGACAGCTAGAGACACATTCTAGACGATCACAAGGCTACTAAGATATGTAGTAAGAAAAGATGCATGGGTCGTACGTAGGATGTGGCGACCGGTTAGGGTCACCCGCTCTCCACCTCTGACAGAAGACCCATGGTGCTACATATTTGATTTGGTGCCGTAACGCAGTTTCGACATTTAGGGTAAGCAGCAAATCTGGGAGAAGAATACATATTTGATTTGGTGCACGTGACTACGAGATCGAGTACCCTGGAAGAAGAATACATATCCTATTTGGTGCTGTACCCCAGTTTCGACCTTTAGGGTAAGCAGCAACTTTGGAAGTAGAAAACCCGAACAAACAGAAAAAATCTGGTGGAAAAAAAAGAAATCTGGGGGAGAAAAATTTTGGTGGAGAAACAAAAAGAAATCTGGTGGAAAAAATCTGGTGGAAATATTCGAAAAATTGGGTAAATACATTTTGTCTGGAAAATTGAATTTGTTAATTTGTTTACAGACCAGATAATAGTAAGGTTAAAATCAGATTAAAATACAATAAAGCTTAAAATGCAACTGTATAGAGAATAAAATATAGTCATATTTTGATAGACAGGTTTATAAACAATATAATATCATGAGTTAGATATGTATATTATCAGGTTAACATGACCTGAAGTAAGTATAGTAAATTTGAGTAATTAAATGGAAATTAAAGTGAATCTCAAGGGAGTAGTTAAAAAAAATTGATATAACTAAGGAATAATAATGATAAGGAAATGGAATAGGGAATAAAATCAGGAATTAATGTTGTCTCCGGATCAAAGTAGGAAGATGACAGAGCTAAGGATAGAGTTGGCCGCGTTTTCTGCTTTGATTTGTTAAACTGTGTGTTTTTGTGTCGTTCATATATGTATCTAGCTAAGAACAGCTAATATAATTTTGAGACTCTAGTCCAAGTCTCAAGGCTATGGTAGTTTAACTTTGGAATAAAAAGTTGGGTTATGTTAAAAATCCCATGTAATTAAATTTAGTGATTTAGGTATAGTTTTTACTGGGAAAACTAAAATTAACGGCTCGTTCAATTGTGAGATTATCGCAAAGTCATTAATACGAGTTTATTACGAGGTTGAGGTAAGAATAGAACACTTTTTTTTTTAGAAAAGTGGGTTATTATACGGTAAATTTTTAAGGATGAAATTATACCCAATCACAGATCTGTACTCACTTCATTTGGTACTCCATGTGGAGATACCTATGCAGATCTTCCCTTGTTATATTGGATACCTAAACTACATAAAAATCCCTACAAGCAACGTTTAATAGCAGGTTCATCCCGTTGTTCCACAGAACCACATTCAAAGGTGTTGACATCTATACAGACGGCAGTGAAAGAGGGTATTCAAAAATACTGTGACAAAATATACTCTCGTAGTGGTTTTAATCAAATGTGGATATTAAAAAATTCCAAAGAATTACTTGATGGTTTGCAATCTAGATCACTTGCTTCAGTCTCATCTATACAAACGTTTGACTTTTCTACTTTGTACACTAAAATTCCCCATAGTAAATTAAAAGCTCGGTTAAAAGACATTATTCACAGTGTCTTTTCTTCTAAATCGGGAAATGTTTGATATCAATATTTAGTTGTTAATTACAATTCCAAATATTTTGTTAAGAACCATAGTGATTCCAAAAATAAATTCACCGCCAACAAGATAATTCGGATGTTGGATTTTTAAATTGATAATATCTTTGTTGAATTTGGAGGGGAAATATATCAGTAAGTGGTAGGTATCCCCATGGGCACCAACTGTGCACCTTTGCTTGCTGATTTGTTTCTCTATTCCTACGAAGCCGATTACATACAGGCACTCGTAAAATCAAATAAACGATTAGTCAGACATTTTAATTTCACTTATCGATATATCGATGATGTTCTATCACTGAATAATCCCAAATTTAATGATTATGTAGAATTCATATATCCTGATGAGCTCGAAATTAAAAACACTACTGACAGTGACAATTACGCTTCTTACTTGGATCTGCGTCTCGATTTTGACAATTGCCATAAACTTGGTGTTAAATTGTACGATAAACGTGATGACTTTGACTTTCCGATTGTTAACTTTCCATTTATTAGTAGCAACATTCCAATATCACCAGCTTATGGAGTGTTTGAGTCTCAGCTAATTCGTTACGCGAGAGCTTGTTCCTTTTATTCTGATTTTTTAAGTAGATCGAGGCATTTGTCATCTAAGCTTCAAATACAAGGTTACTTGCGAACTAAACTTATTAAAACTTTTAAAAAGTTTTATGGCCGTCATATTGACTTGATTGGTAAATATAACATGTCTCTCTCGCCTATTATTCTAGATATATTTAATTGTCGCGTATATTATCTCCCTGATAATGTGACATTATTCATGTCTGTCTACTACATCGTTAACACTGTTCATCACGTGCATTTTGCATACCGATGGTCCATTGGCCAATCACGCTATTTTACAGAGATTTCGTCTAATAGTTTGGATGCAGCTATGGTGGGTGTGGCGCCAGGCAGGGTAAGCTTACTCTTTCGGACACCTGTTACCACTGTTTGTCGTGTATTTTGTACACGGTGAACAGTCCATATGCTGATTACACTATTTTGCCTGTACCATTTTTTTTTCAGGACTTCGAATTTTGTCTAATGGTTTGGATTGTTCGTACTTGGTTTTAGTTTATTATTATCTGTATATAATTTTATGTATTTAATTTTTACTTTAGAAGCGTAATATAAACGTTAAATATATATTTGCTAAGTGCTATTTTGTGTCATTTATTAAATTTTGCTTTAAATTGTTCATGCGAGGTGGTTAAGAATGTGTAATTTGACATGTCACATTGTACTAGTCTGGTTATTCAAAACAATAGGTATAAACACTATGTTAAAGTTGACGTTGGTGAAAGTCACGTGACTTCAGTGGTGAGTCGAATGAAACTATATGTGTAATTAAAAGCTAGGTATATTCTGGTTGTCGTGTTTATAAAATATAGACTTGTGTTCCGAGGGAGTGAAGTGCACGTCACTTGCTTTGAACATAATTCTATTCTAAATAAATTATAGTCTGGTGTTGTCATAAATTTGAGCTCACTTGTGTCAGTGTCAGTCTGATAGGAAATGTTTATGTAATAGTGGTTAATATGTTTATAAAAAACGAAATACAAAATTGTAAATGATTAGGTCAAAAAGGTCGCATTACTGACGGGGGAATATAAAATAATAATGTAATTGTTTTGGCGGAATTCTAAAACAGAAAACGCAATTATAAAATTGTTTATTACTGATCGAGTTATGGTCAAGAGGTCAAAGTTAGTTTGAAGATTTATAATTAAAGAAACCCATCGAAGTTTATTAATAACTAAATGAAGTTTAATTTTAATTTAAAAGTAAGAGTTACTAATAATAATATTAGACTAATATCAAAATAAAGTTTTAAAGATTTAGTAATAGTTAGTTCTTGGTCTGATGACAAGGACATGTTTGATTGACGGATAAAATTTGTATTTTGTCTCAAACCAATGATACTTAGGAAAAAAAGAAGAAAGTTTCAATTTGACACTATGGTAGCTGAAACAGACCACTAGAAATCCAAGAAGAAGAAATGGTTTACCAGTTTACCAAATCGAGATATCCTGAGACAGAATTTAAAGTGAAACCTGAACTTTATAAATTAGAAGTGATGTGTTATAGTGTTTTGAATTTAGGGCACATGAAGATTTAAAAAAACAAAACAATTTGTGTTTTCTGTGTTTAGGGTTAAATAATTTTCATAGGACTTTGAAGTACAGTGATAAACTTTTTGGAGAGCTTACTTTTGAATTTTGATTATTTGTGTTTTTCTTTCATAGCTTTGTTTTATGGTATAGTAATCATTTATATTTGCATGTTGCGTGAATTAGTTAGAAAATCTATATTTTATATATATTCTTAAAGGTGGAAGAATATCGTCGCTGTGACATTGTTTTTAAATTCGTAGACAAGGAATAGAGATATAAGATGATTTAACAATATTTGTATCTTTACAAATTATTCTCTATTGTCAGTATATTAGCTATGGTATGAGTTTATTTAAAACGCAAATTAATTGTTTATGAAATAGTGTGAGAATAACAGGAAAGAGGGTCTAAGTTCAAGGATAGATTGTGTCAAAAAACGTGTGACTGGAAATTTACCTATTGCGTCATTTGGTTTAGTTTGACCAATCTCTGTAATTATTTACATCATATTTGACCAATTAGATAATAGAACGTCTAAAGCCCAAAGCTACAAAACTATTATATTGGGGGGCGTTTGTCAGACAAAAGGCAGATTCTGGAAGGGAAACGATGTAGCAGTTTCTATCAGCAGACTCGACCAGCGAGTCTGGCTAGTGTATGTGAATGACTTTATTCTATTATGCATTGTACCATATGTAAGCAGCTATATGTAAAATGTAAAAACGAACTGTTGCATTGTTATAACTACTGAGAAGACAAATGTCTTAAGGAAACAGTAAGAAGTAAATATACAACGTGAAGCAGAAGCAAAGACAGCTAGAGACAAATTCTAGACGATCACAAGGCTACTAAATGTAGTAAGAAAAGATGCATGGGTCGTACATAGGATGTGGCGACCGGTTAGGGTCACCCGCTCTCCACGTCTGACAGAAGACCCATGGTGCTACATTTAGACCCATTTTCAAAATAACTGACATCCACATTGAGTCACTTGCAATTTACTCAATTTGTTTCGGTTGACCGCTGTCTTAATAACAATAGCGCAACGTTTTAGACACATCTGCTATTCGGTTATGATGTTATAATTTAATTCATAATTAATAATGCAACATTTTAGACTAATCTTCTTTTCTGTTATGGTGGAATACAGAATACTAGCGTAAAGTGTTAGACCCATTTCCCTGTAATTAATAGCAGATAGAAGTAGAACTGCGAAGCAGTGATGACGGGTTTCACTGGTGCCACGTTACGCTTGAACTGATGTCCCTTCCAGTACCGATGAAACCGATAAACAGATCTCCAATGAGCATTGCACAAAATAAGTTAACATCACACAAGCTACGCAGTATGAAACTCTAACAAAATGTTATAATTTACCTGTAATGACGAGATTTCCCAGAATAAAACAACATTGTTTAACTACGTGGGCATCCTGTGAATGTCTCGACATGGCGCCCATTACTTCTGAATGAACACAATGCTGTATCATTTCCAAACACAATTCCTCTAAAATACAAATATAAAATCTAAATTAGATGAATTCCTGTAAAATACAAAATTGAAACCTCGGCTGAATTACGGTAAGTGATATGTAGCTACACCCATACAATTGTGATGCGGCTACCGGTTTACTTAATAGGAAAATTTTCAGAAAGAAGTTCTCAAAATGGCCTCGTTCGATGAGTGTGTAGAGTTTTCATTGCAAAGTTGTACTTTATTTAAAGGAAATCAGATAAACTTAAAATAAAAACAGCTTCAGATATTGAAAACTTTGTATGATGGTCAAGATTGTGTATATTATCTCTTTAAAGGCGTCTTCATGGGCGCCGCTATTTTTAATCCGAGAACTTGAAAGTAGTTCCAAGTCAGCCGAGGTTTGCCGAATGAGCCAAACTTCTAATTTGGGCATCAATTTTTCCCTGATCTCTTGTCCTGATGTATAAGATTAATAAATGCTGCACCTGTCATTTAAACAATCAAAAAAATAAAAGCTTTTCTATAATCAACCTACGCTAAACTATCTTCTCATATACGACTGACTTTTCCGCTAAGTCTTCTGTGATACCACTCTAGGAGGAAGCACAAGTAAAGCCTGAATAACCTGAATTTAAATATATATAAACAATGGACACGTACCTGTAGCTGAGATATATCCCCAGATTGTTAGAATTGTTCTTGTTATATTTATATTATCACCATAACATCTCAATGTGTTGATTAATATAGATATACCATCACATTTACATATCATCTCACAATTAGCCTCTAGAAGATAAATATAGATACAATTAACCCTTAGAATATAGAACTGGCTTATAGATGGCCTCTAAAACAGAGCAGGCTTATAGATATCCTCTAAAACAGAATAGGCTTTTAGATGACCTCTAATAGTATAGGCTTATAGATGGCCTCTAAAATAGAACAGGCTTATAGATGGCGTCTAACATAGAACAGGCTTATAGACGACCTCTGAAATAGAATATTCTTATAGATAGCTCCTATAATAATACATAGATACAAGTAATATCTATGAAATGAATATAAATGTAATTAGGAAGATAAAAAAAATACAAACAATTAACCTAGAGAATAGGTGTATAGAATGTCTCTAGAATACAATTAAACTATACATACAGTGTCAATCGATCTTTAGAATGAATATATAGACATACAGATACAATGGTGATTACCTGATGATGATGCCATCTGAAGAATGGAAGCACATGCCGTTTTGTGTAGGTCTTCTTTGTCCGGAAACTGTTGCATAGCATTAAAAACACATTGTATGGCTTCATGTTTAGCTAATAACACTTGTAAAGTTTCTGAAAATATAATCACAAGGTATTCTTACATCAGCATTAGCATTCGAGATAAAAAAAATCCAGATTAAAATGCAAATGTAGACTTTTATAGACCACACAATAAATTTAGTCTTATCGACCAATCCTACCGGAAGTTATAGACCACGAGAGTCGCCCTTAACTTCTATTGATTTCATCCTACAATCTGGTTTTTCACAAAACACAATTTTCCAGACTAAATGCATTTAGATTTTCAGACCATACACAATAAATAGTCTCGCTATCCAGTTAGTGAGAAAGCAATTCTGCTTGGGAGAATGGTCAAATAGTTTTCTTGGTCTAAATATTATTCAAATCCATCAATCCTAACGGGCGCTATAGAACTTGCTGTTACTTTTTATTGGTTTCAAGCTACGATCTTATTTTCTCTAAAATGGATAGCCGACGCCTAAACAATATTCCATGTACTCTTTGGCCAGTTGGTGTATTTAAAGTTAACTCCTCATCATACTGACAGTTATTTTTGTTTGCTGACAAAATGTATAAGATCTTGAATTCCCGGTATAGTATTATTATTCTTACCTATATGAGCGTATTGACCCACTGTTTTACAACCAGTAAGCTGTATCTCGAAGTTTTCCGGATTCTTGGTCATGTGATTTATACAAACGTTGATTGGTTCCAGATTCTTGTTCACTTCATTCTCTGTTCTATTTTTATCTGAAAAAAATATAATATTACAAAATGAAAGTAGAGTGTGTTCTAAGGTATAGTTGGGAAATATGAGACCGGCATACGTTTATTTTGTCTAACTGCCTGTTGAGATGTGTGGAGTAGTGCTCAAGCAATGGATTCGAATAGAATAGGGTCCAATGTCTCGTCAACACAATACTTCAGTCAATGGGTCTTTTACGTGCACACTTGTCCACGGCTTTTCGTTCCATCTAAAAGACTAGAACTAATGAATGAAGTCAAATGAATTGCGATTTACCACGCCTTACTTTACTGCACCAACCGGGATAATGAATATGGGCATTCATCATAGTAACTGTGTGTTATGAGGTGAAATTTGCCCAGAGGGCGGCGTTTCGGCCTATTGTTCATATAATTCCAACTGCTAGTGGTTCTTTTATTTGTACGACAACGAGTACACGAGACCTAGATTTTTCGTTCCACCCGCTGAACTAGGTGGTTATCTTTGTCAGTCCTCCGACAACGCTACTGAAACCACGCTGTAAAGGGCCAAGCAACGTCTAACGACGGGATCGACCCTGGGAACCAACACCCGACATGTCAGAGCCACACCGCATCACAAATTAAACTTACCGTCAATATTGCAAACAATATGTTTCACTACGTCATGGGTATTGCTGGGTGGCATGGTGCTCGCTAATTCTGAAAGAAACAATATTATAACCTTTTATGGGCACTTTACTTGAGTAACTGTGAGAACAGCATACCCTAATACGGTGATTCGAAAAATTGTGTCCAAACAGTGGTTTGTCGCCTACTCGTTGTCGAATTCCTGCTGTCAAGACTTCGGTTGCCTGTGCACACTAAGATATCCATAAATATATAATAATCTAAAGGGTTCGTTCTCGTTTAATTACGTATTATATTCCGTGTTTTATACTTTACCGTACTCTAGTGTACTGTACACAAAGATCAAAACAACAAAATGTTGTTTAGACTCCAGAACAAAAAAAAACGGAATTATAGAACGAAACGAAATAAAATTGGGTGACGATAACCGTACTAATTGGGTGCACCTTTGTAATTCAATAGTCAACACGCAAATAAAATCATAATCATAAAACGAAATATAGTAATATAATATTAATTAAATTCGGATGAAATTAGACGTACTAATTTATTGGGTGCTCCTCTGTAATCCAATATTCCAAATGTAGATAAATAAGTTTATAATTATATATCTACAAGTGTTTACATCCTTATGAAAGTTGTGACGCGCGTTCTATATACCGCCCTCACTATATCAGGTGTTTTCCTGTTTATATGACATGCTCTATATACGGCTACCCTATTTTTCAACTCTAAATACATGAAATGAAATGGGACTCAACTTCCTACTGTTTTGCACTGAACTGGGCTAATGAAGACAGGCATATTCCATACAGTGTGCTATGAGGGAAATTTTTGCCCGATAGTAGCGCTACGGCCTACTCTTATATCGAATTCTAACTGCCAAGGGATATTTTAAGTACACGTCAATGTGTACACGGGGCCTCCTTTGATAAAAGTCGAATAATCAATTAGAGGAAATTTAAGCGTGGATTAAGTCGTGAAAATTAGATATTGTCAGAAAATTTGAAATGCCAATCAGTGCCTGTAATAACATCCATTCTAGTTAACTATTTAACTAATGCACTGCTGGGTTAACTTTATAATCAATAAGAAAAACACTTCTAAGAGTACGCGTCTTTGCCAATTTATGACGTAAATAAAACTGATCCATATCATATGTCCATTTACAACCAAAATATTACGCCTCAAATCCCTGACGTCTTCCGTTCAGATTCGGGTGTTGTCTGTAACCACCTTCCTTACCGCCAAGACCAATCAAATTAAAATTAGATCGTTATTTCAGTCTACAAGCCAATGTGTACACGAAACCTCGGTTTTTCGTCCCATCCGAACGACTCGACAGCTTTACTTGTCTGACCCTCCTTCCTGCACCACTGACACGGAGAAATAGGTCAGTTCAAAACGGACCAGAGGTTAATGAAGCATAAACGCCCCAACACAATTCAGTTCTTTCATTGTGAAACGATTTTCCGCAATGCACTCAACATAGAGTATACCCGTCTTTATTATCCCGGCTAATTCAGTAAGGTAGGACATTATGCCCCCCCCCCCCCCCGGACCCCCTTTCCCGTGCTGCTTGTAATAAAGAAGTGAAATTCACATTCAGTGTTATTCTTATATTGTTACTTATTATAAATTTAAAACATTTTAGTTCACATGTCCTGAAGTTTTAACTATTACATGTCTTAGTTGTTAACTTGTTTATTTACAATTTTAATTCTCACTACCGCGCTGGTTGCATTTATAAATGCTATTTATGAGTACTTTGTTCATTCTTAATAAGTGAATTATTAGTCTAATGTTATCAAATAAATTCTAAAAATCTTACCTTTTGTTTTAAACCTTTTAATTATATTACGTATCGTATCTCCTAATATTCTCTTCATTCACACTCACTTTAGAGTCCGCTTCATTCACAAGCAAATGTATATTTATCCAATCGGTCATAAGTGAATTGATTTTAAAAGTGTTTGGTTCACAAGGATTATCTTAATCAATAAATTATAAAAGTTGTACCGTTTCTTCCAAATGTTTTTTCACTATTAATTATTTATGTCCTGGTTTCTCTTCATTCATATGTCTCGCGTGCGTCCCAGCTTCATTCATAAATATATATATATACATATATATATATAAACTCGTCATCTGAGATCAGTCTTAATTACTACAAATGAGTAATTCATTTGACGATGTCAAACGTATTAGTCAAGCGAGGTTTCCGTTTCTCCTTCTTTAAACTTGTTTGTTTAGTCTTGTACGTTAAATACAGGCGGAAAAACAACCAACCCTGTATCCTGATTTTTAATTACTAGTCTTATGACTCAAAACGTATTAAATTTGTAGTTTTGACCTATATTCAAAGGTTACCTGTCAAGGTAAGTTATGTATTTGG